GCCTCGAAGTCGTGCGGAAGTCTTTCTCCATGGCCTCTCCAAACTCCTCCCACGCCCGGGTTTTTGCCTCAGCGACCACCCGAGCCGCTTCGCCTGCCGGTACCCATCAGCTGCTTCTGGAGTCCCGTAGGCCAGAAAGGCCCGATAGGACTCCTTCTTCAGCTTGACAGCATCCCTCACTTGGATCATTATTACATCTTTAAATGTGTTATTAACATTGAGGAGCAGKTAATAACTTGACAGGAGGAGTAGCTTTAAACTTGACATAAGGTCAGAAAATGATTAAAGTGTTGGGTGTTTTAGTCAGCGTGAATGAATAGTCAAAAGAAATATTCATCATCCTAAACAGCAACAAAACAATTAGAACTGAACAGTTATGTAAACTGTAAATGTAACACCCCTCTTCCTCTGGTAACTAATGATAAAGTTGAGCTAGTCGGTAATGAAAGTGGATAGTTTGAGGCATCGATCTGTCGTTACAGCCATCCTGTCAGGGTTTGGATGATTCCACACACCGAGTGTCACAAGAAGCAGTATTACCCATCCTTCACCGAGCTGACCTGTCGGAGTCCTCACCTCCCAGATGCAATAACAAGTAATTTTCTCTGCGCCCTCTCGTGTACACGCCGAGACTTCATAATGGTCAGGTACTTTTAATTATAAGAAAGTTTCCACACGAACAGAAATTTGACCTCTGACTCTTCTTTCACTTCACTACTCCTGTTATTACGGCTTCATCTGGCTACAATTTAATGCAGCTGAAATATCTCATCAGGTGCTGTYTGAAAGTGATGACCTCCATCTATTTCCAAGCTACAGCCTCACTGTGTTTGAAGAAATACATGAAGTCAATACAAAATGTTTCTATAGACATGAACATTTTTAGTTCTAGAGCAGCTCAGCTCGTTTTTCTGCCTTTTTTTTAACATGTCCTGTCTGGCAGTGTGGCACTCAGAATTGTTGTCTGAGTACCAAGTTGAAGCCCAAAAGATTTACCTTCACAAGCAGAACCTCACGGCTTTCCCCATGATGCTCCAATCTCTCTGCCTCTCTGTCACTTTGTCTCTCTTTCTGTATATATATAT